TTTTTTTTTTTTTTTGAGATGGAGTTTCGCTCTTGTTACCCAGGCTGGAGTGCAATGGCGCAATCTCGGCTCACCGCAACCTCCGCCTCCTGGGTTCAGGCAATTCTCCTGCCTCAGCCTCCTGAGTAGCTGGGATTACAGGCACGTGCCACCATGCCCAGCTAATTTTTTGTGTTTTTAGTAGAGACGGGGTTTCACCATGTTGACCAGGATGGTCTCGATCTCTTGACCTCGTGATCCACCCGCCTCGGCCTCCCAAAGTGCTGGGATTACAGGCTTGAGCCACCGCGCCCGGCAGCTATTGGGTCTTAATACCTGGCTCTCCCTTTCCCTACTCCACCAGGCCCCAGTGTGCGTTGTTCCCCTCCCTGTGTCCAAGTGTTCTCATTGTTCAGCTCCTATGTACAAGTGAGAACAGGCAGTGTTTGGTTTTCTGTTCCTGTGTTAGTTTGCTGAGGATATGGCTTCCAGTTCCATTCATGTCCTTGAAAAGGACATGATCTCATCCCTTTTTATAGCTGCATAGTATTCCATGGTGTATATATACCACACTGTCTTTATCCAGTCTCACATTGATGGGCATTTGAGTTGTTTCCATGTCTTTGCTTTATAGTGGTTTTTGTACGCCGCATCTGTCTGTGTACCAAGAGACACAGAGGACAGAGATGTGGAATTCTTGAAACTACTAAGTCATTCCTAGAGCCCTTAGCTTGTAAGTTTTTAAGAGATATGCATGAGTCAGACACAGATAAATGCCCCTGATACCTGAATCAGGAATACATCTAACTAGGAATGATGTCAATTCTGAATTTTAATCTTAAAAGAATTCAAAAAAAGAAAAGAAAAACAACTGTTAGGGAATAAAAATATTCTAGGTAATGGTATACAGTCAGAATATATCTAGCACACTTTTTGTATCTTCTACTTCACATGCTATATAATGTACCTGGTATTTATGATAAGTATTACCCAGAGGCACTGTTGATTCTGAACTGTTTTATGCAGCATCAAATGTAGTTTTTATTTGCATAAGGCAGGGTTTCAGACAGAGCTAAAAGGTTATAATTATTGTTAATGTTTTACTAATCCTTAAATGTTGGCAATTGAAGTATGCTAGATACAATAACACAAATAATTCACATATTTTATTTTAACAGATGCCTTATTTCACAAGTATTCTATAGGCATAAGACATGTATTTTCCAATTAATCAACAAAGAATGTTTCTGATGCAAGGAGAATCCAGGGAGCAATGGGCTAGGTGAACCAAAATAGTTCCAAAGGAAACGATAATCAGTATATGGGGAAAGACTTATTTATTTCTGAAAATGGATGCAGACACATAAGATGAGACCATTTCTCCACGTTTCATAAATGGTTTCAGAGAATGAAAGCAACACTTACCCCTATGGTGGAAGCCATGTAGTCTGAGCAGATCTCGGCAAAGTCTCTCCCCATTACTCCATAGTAGAGGCCATAGAACAAAGACACAATGCCAAAATCCATGGAATCTCTAGCTATGATTCTATTGAAAACAGCAGTATAAGGAATTAAGAATGTGGCATATTTCTAAACAGCTGGAGTTTGGAAAATATTTCCTGTGATAGCATCTAAGAGAGCCTTGTGGTCATTTTTTTTGCATTTATTTGTTGGATTTTTATTTTCTTAAATGAAAGAATTTAAAATTCTCTAAATTTCCCTCAAATTGTAGCACTCAGTGCCGACTGGACAAAGGAATTCTTGAGACAGCCTTCAAGCGCTTCTGAGGACCGCAGTGCCGAGACAGGCTCACTCAGACCAGTAGTTTCCGGCTCAGCTTCAGGTAGACCTCAGCAGCTTATAACAGTTTCCATCTCCAGGCCACACCCCAGTAACTCCAGCGGGCAGCTAACAGTAAGAATCACTAGAGCAACAGTTCTCAGCCCTAAACATAGATTAGAATCACCTGGGAAGATTTAAAAGCCCCGTGACACATGGGCCCACCACCAAGGACTGGAGTTTAGTTGATCCGGGGTGGGGTCTGGACAGCAGTATTTTTAAAGAGCTTGTCAAGTGATTGATTCTTTAATACAGCAAGGATTCAGTATGTCTGCTGTAGAACTTAGATTTATAAAATGCTTTCCACTGATCTTTCCTAACAAGTGCTTGAGATAGATATTATCACCCCCACTTTGTGTGTGAAAACATGGAGACTTAGAAAACATTATTTGCTTGATGCAGCAATTGGTACCTCACAAAGCAAGCTCACGTTCTGAAGCCCTTGGTTACCGTGCCAGAGTTGCTATGTATTAACTGAAAAAAACTTTTTGCAAGTTGAATCATATTTCAATTACACCAGGATTCTTTATGATCATCCCCCCGCCCAGTTTTTTTTTTTTTTTCTTAAGGGAAAGATCTCTTTTAAAAGCGAATGATTTGCCCTAAATTTAATTTATGAATCTAAATAATTGCATATTTGGTTTGCTTTATCTATAAAACCATCTCAAATACCGGTGGTGAGCCTTGTTGGTTCTGATTAATTCAGGAAAGGGAGGAAAGTGTGGACAAGAGTTGGGTAGTCCGACTCTAAAACCTATTTCTGTTTTCTGTTCATTGTAGGAAGAAATGGTAAAGGTGGACAGCTTTGTAGATTTAGAAGATATAGATTTTTTGGTGATATGAACTGAGACTTCCAACATAGGTGGTAGCTGCATCCTTTCAGGATTTGTCTGGGTATATGAGAATGTGGACAGTGAGGGAAATGAGGAGTATCTTCCCTTCATGTCCAGGAAGTATTTATAATTTTATTGATTAAAAAGTACAGTAACACACTTGTGGCTACCTAGAAAAAAGATTAATACAATGATAATCTTCAAGTAGTGAAACAAAATAGTTCCTTTTCTAAAGGGTTAAGTTCTTGGTATGCCTTACTGTAGGAAAATTCATGAATAAGGATCGTGAAATCTTATGAGGTAATAGTCTTGGAACAGCTATAGTTCCCAGTGATTTCATAAAAATCCTTATGAGTATTTTACATTCACCAAAATAAACCAGTATAGACAATATGTTAAAATAGACATTACAGTGTCTATTTCCTAACCTAGCAATAATAGATCTGTACAGTTACTTTCAACCCCTTTCCTGCTAGAAAATGTTAGCTGCTCCCATTCTGAAAGTTTTATAAAATGCTTATAAAATCAGGTTGCTATGCTGCCATAGGAAGAGCCCTTTCCCCGAGGGCTGACTCTCCATCCAATTGCCTTTCTTATTTTCTGAGGAAAGGGTTGATGATCTCTGCTTTTCAGTTTCTGTTATTGTCCTGGAAGTTTGGAGTAACTTCGATGTGAGAGCTATTCTGGGGAACTTGTATTTGAGCTGCTTTCTATAGCTGTACGTGTGGTATGTCTTCAGTCCCCTTTCCAGGACACAGGCTGGTTACTCAGCCTCATTTGTGCCTGTGAGAATGCCATCAACGGCATGTCTCAGCAGCCACCTTAAGCGGGAGCATTGCTCTTAGTCAAAGATGTGATTATTTCAGCTTCCTTTATCTCTCCCCAGACTTTCTTGCTCTTTTATACCTTTATTTCTCTTTCAATTTCTTTTTTAAAACTCCCCTCTATTAAACAATAGATATCGACATGTTTTCTATCCTTCAAATCTTTTTTGTTTATTTGGTTTTCCAGCTTATATACTTTTTCCAATTAAAATTTTTGTTGAGACAAGGTCTGGCCATGTTGCCCAGGCTGGTCTTGAACTCCTGGCCTCAAGCAATCCTCCCACTTCTGCCTCCCAAGTAGCTGGGATTACAGGCATGAGCCACAGCACCCAGTCTCTTGCAATTTCTAAGCACTCACTTTTCCTCCTTTTTCAGCTATCCCCAATGCAAGGCATTTCCTGAATATCAGAAACCAAATTAAAGAGAGCAGTGCTGTCCAATGGAAATACAGCCACAAATATAATTTTAAATTTTCTGGTAGATGCATTTAAAAATTAAAAAAAACCAGATGAAATTAATCTCACCAATACATTTAAATCCTATCATTTCAAAATGTAATTGATATAAAAATGTTTTCTATGTAAGTCTTTGAAATTCAGTATGTATTTTATACTTTTAGGTGTTCAGTACTGTCACATGAGCTAGTGGCTACTGTATTGGACAACATAATTCTAGAGATTTTAGATAAGAAGATAGATATGAAAGGAGATCTAGGCACTTGAGAATTATGTAGAAGAGAAATGTATAGTTCAGTAAGAATTACTGTAGCACAATTGTAGGTCTACTTTAATAGTAATCTTTTAAATTTGCAGACCAAATATAAATCTCCTTAAAGGTCCTAATTAAAAAAAATTATTTTGTAGAGTGATCCTTTCTTCCCTTTCTATTGCTTTTCCCCAGACAAAACTATGTGTGGATATCTACTATAAAACATGGTGCATGGAAAATTGGAGTGCCGAATGCTTCCAGATTGAGAGAACATGACCGGTGAGTGCTCCAAGCAACTGCTTGGAGATATTAATGTCTTAATTGGAGATACTTACTTGAAAAACAGATTGAATCCACACATTGTAAACATGATCACCAAGTAACCCAGAACACCAAATGCATAGCTGAGTTTGTAGATCAGAAGAAACCGTTTGTAGACCAATCTGTGGAGTGAAAAATGGGGAAAAAAACAGAACATGGTAATATTATAAAACATTTTGTCTCTTTCAAAGAGTTATACATCAGTTTTTAGTTTCTAAGATTATGTTTATAACACACAGAACATAGATGTATATAGCAATAAGCATTCTGTGAATAGTGCTATCAAGCTCGTGTGTTTCTGTGTATATGCATATGTGAATTCTTTTTAAATTTGTCTGCGTCCCTCACATGCTTCGCTTAAAAATAGCCTTCAGGAATGGTTAATCTTTCTGCACCCCTGCCTCCCCACACTGCCCTCTTCTCATTTGGTCCTAGGGTTAACCTGGAGTGGTTTTAGCAGGAGTGTCTTAGAGGTGAACAAAAAGTGGGATGAAAAGTCAAAGGGAAGTCCAGACCTTCTTACCGGGGAGTTTTCTTCCCTTTGTCCTGCTGCCTCTTCCCCACCCCACCGCCCAAGTACAGATATCATCAGCAGTGAGCCCAGCACTCATCCCATTTCTCCTCCACCCAAAGAGCCCTCCCGTAGCCCAGGGCATGAAATGACGAGAGCCCCAGACTATTTCCTTCTGCTGTGCGGAAGGGTCCTGTGTGTACTCCAGCACCCTCTGTGAACTTCCAGGGCCTTTCCTTCTTCCCAAGGGTCTAAGTGGAGAAGGAAAAGGATGAGGATGGAGGGTGAGTGGAGAGAATCTAGAAGGAAGCCCTCCCCTCTGCTGGTTTCCTTCTTCACTGACAGTAAAGGCCCTTAGAAAAAAACTACAAGAAGGACCATGTGACAGCTTCATGTCTAGGAGGATGGGGTAAGAGGTTGGGAGACCAGTTCCATTCCTGGTGGGCCACAGCAGAGGAGCTATGCCCATTGATATAAGAGGTGGTGGATGGAAAAGCTGGGGGCTTATCTTTGTTGCTCAAAGAAAATGAAGAGGTGGCTGGAATGCTGCTTACAAGGATGTGCAATGGCAGAAGGCCCTGTTTGCCTCACAACCCTTTCCCTGCACATCCACTTGGAGTCTTTTTCCTGCCTTTCACCCCAAACTGCATTGAGAGTCTTGCTCCAGAGATTTAGCCCCACCCTCTTGCCCCCAATCCCTGAGCCCTGTCTCCAACTCTCTCACCTTCCCCAGATCACTCCCTGTTGGAGCCATGGTACTAAGTGCTTAAGATCTATGATATTACTAGCATAAGGTTTCAATATGATTTTAATAGGTGCTCTATTTCATCGAGTTTCAGTCAGAAGGGTCCTTCTGAACATTATGGTTTAAATGGGTTGTGGGCTAGCCCGTGAAATGAATTGTTATATACATCACTTCTATAGTGAAATGCTCTCTGCACTTTAAGCAACTGATATTAAGGTGCCATCTGTGCTGCCACTTCCTCCACACAGGTGTGATCTTGCCCCTTGGGGGAGTAGGCAGGGGTGAGCTACACTGACACAGAAATTTGCATGGGCTGCATAAATTGGCTTAAATTACTGTGAGGCTGTGTGGCCTCGTAAGGAAGCCAGAGAAGGCTCTCGCGGTCTTTCTGCCACAGTGACTCTTGAGCCATGAGTTCTTTTCATTTGTCAGTGCTAGCAGCTTAGATCATTGCTCAGGGCAGCCAGATCAAGGCGGAAGTTTATGTTGCTAAAAGTGGTGATGATGGAGAAACAGGCAAGCTTTGAGAAGGTCCCCTCTATTGGGCCCCCAACACCTGCTAGTACCAGAATATGGTTCCTTAAACTGCATACAGACTTGGTGACCCATCTCCCTGCCTTAAGGGACCTCTCTCAAACTTCTGTCAGCGTTAGAGATGTTCCAGGACTAATAACCTTTACACTGCAGGGTTTCTCTGTGCAAAGCAGTTTGTTGAATTAATTAAGCCATAGCATGCTTTTTGGGAGCAGGAGCTTTGCTGTCAAGTAGTTCTTCGGTCTGATTCAGGACTTTGCTGCTTACTGCCCATGGGACTTGGGTTAATTTACTTGGCATGCCTCATTTAAAATGTGAGGATGATAACACTAGCTCCTAAAGTTGTTCTGAAGATTGTGTGAGCCAATGTATTGATGTTTATTGACTTGGCACATTAAATGCTCAGTATGTCATATCATTGTTAGGGATGTGTTCAATTTTCCAAATCTCAAGCTCCCTTTCTGCCATTTTCCTGCTTATTGGGGGTAACTGTTTTCAGGAACAGTAGAGTCCAGAACTTCTTTCCTACCAAGACTTACACTGTAAGGCAGATAAGCCAGATAGGAGATTGTGCACCTGTTTCAGAGCAGCCTCCAAAAGGAAAGCTGGCCTTGGGCTGGATTTCCTCCAGAAGGAAAGCTGATGAAGCCCAGCTCTCTGTGGCTAGTGTGTGGCTTGTGGCCTTTTTTTTTTTTTAAGGTGTAATCTTGCTCTGTTGCCCAGGCTGGAATGCAATGGCACGATCTTGGCTCACAGCAACCTCTGCCTCCGGGTTCGAGTGATTCTGCTGTGTCAGCCTCCTGAGTAGATGAGATTATATGCACCCGCCATCATGCCCGGCTAATTTTTGTATTTTTAGTAGAGATGGGGCTTCACCATGTTGGCCAGGCCGGCCTCAAACTCCTGACCTCAGGCTTCCCTGATCCAACCACCTTGGCCTCCCAAAGTGCTGGGATTACAGGCATGAGCCATCGCATGTGTGGCTTATTTCTGAGTTTGATCTTCACTACTTGCCAGACAAACCAACTGTAGTTGAGAGGAAACTCACTTCCCCTTCTCTGGGTACTCTAACCTGAAACAAGAGCTTGATGTGCTCTCAAAGAGGCACAGCAGGCTTTAAACTGCTGGTGCTGGAGACCACTACTCTTGCGTCTGCCTTCTGCAGCAATGCTGATTTCTTCATCCAGTTCCCCTAGCCTGTAATGAAATCTTCTCCTTCCAAATGGAAGATAGCTAAAATGTGACTCATCTGTAATACAATAATTAAGCAAAGATCCATGATGATTCTGGGGCCTATTATTGCCTCTTATGTATGGGAGCTCTATCCTGACTACTCGTCTAGAAGAGGGCCTACTTCACCTTGCTCGCCGTTGTCTTTTCAAATGGCAGCTGAGTTTGCTTTACAATGTCAGTGAAGCCTCTTGGCTCTTAGACTATCCTGCAGGGCTTGGAGTTGTGGAGGCAGGAAGATGCTGAGAGGACATGCTTTGGGCATGGGAAAGAGAGCATGGAACCCTGGCCAGTGGACATATGAAAGGCATAAAGGGTAATGAGGCAACATTTGGGTATTTCTTATAATAAAATTCCTCTGCATTGCATGAACTGATATGTGCAAAAACACTGCCTTTAGGTAGGGTAATTCATTATACAATGGAAAGGTGAACCATTCTTACAGAAATAGAATATAGATTAAATCCAGGGGATGAAAACAAGCACGTTTTGATTCATCCAAAACTTAGAGCACTTTCACAAATCTTAAATAACAGAATATTTTCTAAGAAGGAGAAAAGTACCATATACTCACTTTGCTGAGTGGTAAGCCAGACACTACAAGGGCTGTCCAAGACCCCAAACTGGCCAGTTTATACAGTCTCCTACCACCACCCCAAACCTCTTCCCAAAGCAGAACTAAACTAAAATAGTCATAACATGAATTCAGTATTTGGATTTCCATTTTTATCATCACATTTATTTATCTGATTTCTCACTGGATTCCTTCTCCAAACTTGAAGGAAAAGTTGCCATGCATGTTTCCTACATTTTTAGAGGACGAAAACAAATGTCTAAATAATCATAAAAGTATCTCACTGGAGTTTATAATTTATTCTCCCAAAAGGTCAGATTTAGCATTGTTTTATTGCTATTTTAAATTTTACACATTTTATCTCATTCCAATTTTATGTTGATGAGGTTTCAGATTTTACACACAGAGCAGAGAGGGCGAAAGCAAGCCTGTGAGTGCGGTATGTGATGAGCACTTTGGAAAGATTCGTGAATGATACAATGGAGCTATACAAATCTTCGGAGGCTGACAATGGTAATTAAAGTGACCACTGGAATATTAAAGCATCATTTGTTATTAGAATAGTAAGTTGTCCATGACTTATGATTTATTATATATTTTCAGGTTGAAACACAACTTTCAACTCTTGCTCTATTTTAAAATGTGTAACACAACTTAAAGTGGAATGAAGTAAAATGCTGAGCTAAAAATAAACATGCAAAAATGCTCTAGAAATTTTAAACAATAGTTTCACTTCTCTTTCTTCTGCTTTTCACTAGCTAATATTTGAAGTAGTAAATTTTACATGCATATCTGAATCACCATTAAATAATGAAGGCAAACGAACAGTAGTGTAGCTAATTTCTCAATAGTTTTGCTACCACAGGTAAAAGATACGTAAAAGAAGTGTAACCTCCCTCCAACTCAGGAAAATGGCAATCAAATATGCTTTTTAATATATAAAATAAAGGGGGTCCTGAGGAAGGAATGCAGGAATACATACTGTGGTGTCCTCCCAAAGAGGGGTTTTCGGTAGCTCTGAAGAGGATGTAACTGGTAATAACGGAGAACATCCCCCACATAGACAGGAACCGCCACCAGTATAGTTTTATAGTGAAATATAAGGGGACAACCCACATCTGCAACAAGGTCACCAGCTGTGAGAGAAATGAACAGAAGTCCCTTTCAATGACCAAGTGCCTGAATGGCATCTCCATTATTAAATGAGTCCAAAGCATCTCTGGGAGAACCACCTTCACCATCATGTTTGTACCACACAACTGGTTCACCATCAAACTGTCAGCTTCCCTAGACAGGCCAGGCTATGGAGAGTATGGGCACAATTATCTGAAAATTCAAATGGGAAACAATCCAAAATGCTCGCCTTCCGTCACTTCCTTTCATCTGACTATTTTAGATGAAAACTCTTTGGGGCCTCCACAGCGATGTGATTTTGGACAAGAGAGCCTCACTTCAGTTGTATAATTGGGGGTACCGATAATTGCACTGCTTCCCTGCGCTGACTGAGGTGGGGCTCAAACGAGATCAGGAATGGAAAGTACTCTGAAAACCACACTACACTACACAGAGCCCAGGGGCTTTGTTACTATCATGTGTCCATGTGAAAGTGACAGCAATGTCAAAGGAGGAAGTGGAGGTCAGAGTTTCAGAGCAGCCCCTGGGATGTCTTCTGCCTGCAGTCCCAGGGCACTCAGCAAGGTTTCCTGTTCCTTTGGTGCATAAACCCTTTGTGGCCTATGCCATTGACCTGAGTCCAAGTAGCCTTCAGAGGGCCCTTTAATCTGGTCCCTTTCCCATAGGTCAGGGAGCAGGGTCACTGAAGTGATATGGCTACCATACCCACACTCCTACTCTTTGAAGCAGGCCTAATACCAGCTAGTCACCCCTCTTGGGAAAAGCAGACAGCCTTAATCAATAGCAATATCCTTTGGTCTTTTATGTTTCCCTGAATTCAGACTAACTACCTATTATTTGCTCATAATGAATATAAGGGGAGTGGCAAAGAGGTTTTTCTCTCAAGGGTGGACGTTAACTAATTTTTAATGGCACTCTGTAGGGCTCTGTTGAGGATTCTGAGCCGGATCCTGATGTAGTGGTAGAGTCTTATGATCAATTAATGAAGTCTGCCAGCAATGTGGGAAGAGGGGTTAGAGCTCGCTTATCGCATATGCATCATCCTGACTATTAAAAAGGCTGCTGCCGTTTATTTTCTTTACCTTCTCAATCTTTGCAACAGAAAAGGGAGGCTTGGAACAAAAGAGTCTATGGATACGTTGTTGGATCCTTTAAATACGTCTTGGTAATAGTCTAAGGTCAATAACCAAAGCTCTTGGACAGGACTTCAAGATATAAATGAGAAAGGTGGTTGGGGTGCAGTGACTTATGCCTGAAATCCCAGCACTTTGGGAGGCCAAGGCGGGTGGATCATGAGGTCAGGAGTTTGAGACCAGCCTGGCCAACATAGTGAAATTCCCTCTGTACTAAAAATACAAAAAAAAATTAGCTGGACTTGGTGGCGGGAGCCTGTAATCCCAGCTACTCGAGAGGCTGAGGCAGGAGAATCGCTTGAACCTGAGAGGCAGAGGTTGCAGTGAGCCAAGATTGTGTCACTACATTCCACATCAGGTGACAGTGCTAGACTCCATCTCAAAACAGTTAAATAAATAAAAATAAATGAGAAGGCGAGGCCACAGCCATTCTTCTTTCAATGTCAGATAGGAAGACATTTCCCAGGCTCAACATTCTCCTTTGATTGCTTCATCCTCATAAATGATCTGAAGTCTTCTTAGAATTGCTCTGAATCTTCTTTCAGAGAACCCTAGAGTTGTTATCGTCGATATGCACTTGAACAAAAACACACACGGAGCAAGTCTGAGGTGAGTATCTGAGGAGTTCGGGAACAAATCCTGTAACTTACTTTTTTTTTTTTTTTAACTCCAAGGAATACTTTCAGGGAAAAGAAAATACTCTTTACTCTTGCCTCCATGTATCAGAAAACTGTTTTAATTTTCCATCCTATTTTGTGGGTGTGGAAAATGAAATTAAGATAAATACACATACACAAATAGAAAAACAGGCTTTACTTAAGGAAGTAGAATAGTTTTCAAGAGGACCTAAAACTACATGCTAAGTAATCAAGACTCAAGATGTGCTTACTTAAGCATTCAGCATGAGCAGCTTTGACCCTCTGCTATTTATAGTAAAAGTGTGCAGCACAACGGCCAGGTGTGGTGGCTCATGCCTGCAATCCCAGCACTTTGGGAGGCTGGGGTAGATGGATTGCTTGAGCTCAGGAGTTTGAGACCAGCCTGGGCAACATGGCCAAACCCTGTCTCTACAAAAATTAGGCAGGCATGGTGGTATGTGCCTGTAGTTCCAGCTACTCAGGAGGCTGAGGTAGGAGGACCATCTGAGCCCTTGAGGTCAAGGCTGCAGTGAGTTGAGATCGTGCCATTGCACCTTAAAAGGGTGACAGAAGTAGACTCTGTCTTTAAAAAAAAAGTATGTAGCATCTTAACAAAAATCTCATCAGCATATTGGTCATTTATTTTCTGTAAGCTGATTCTGGAGATAGTTCTCTATCATAAATTATACATTTGCTGACTTAAAAGTCCATTACTTCTGACAGTAAAAAAGAAGATGGACATGAGCTGCATCTTTCAAAGTCTGATCATCTGTCATTCACATTTTTCATCTTTCTATTTTAAGAATTTGACTAATTTTTTACATTTTCCCATAAAAATACTGAAGTTTTTTTAAAATAAAAAGTTGAGTTGGTTCATTTTAATTCAGTGAAACTACTATGCCCTCATATTTTGTACTTCAGACCTAAGCCAAAATATAAGACTAATAAATTTCTTCTAATCCATGGAGTTACAATCCATGATAGTTTGGAGCTATAGCTGGATTATATTTTAATAAAACCAGTTCTCTTCCTATAGATCTATAAGAATGAGTAATTTCTAGAAGACCTCGAATTTCCTTGATACCTAGATTTAATTGATAGTGAATAACAATGTTCAATGTACAGACATGGTACTTTTAAAAATAGACTTTTGAGATCAAAAAGGAAAAGAGAGCAAAAAATCATTAGAATGTATAAAGAATGCAAATATTTTATTTCTTAACTATCTTTAAAATGTAACCCAGCACCCTATTTTCTCAACATATGAAGGGAAAGTTCAAAAATTTGTTCTGTGAATTCAGTGATTACATTGGTAGTCATTTTGAAATGAGAGCCATATTTCATAGCAATTTAAAAGATTCTTTTTTTATCAATTTCCAGTGCCGTTAAAAGTTCTCCTTTTAAATATTAACTGCCATATATGAAATTAAGGAATACTGTCCCTCATAAACAAACACATGAAATATGTGCAATCGAGGCACATACATGCAAAGAAGGAAGCCTGGATCTGGAACACATTAATAATGCCAGAGGGGTCACCATCTGGCCATGTGCGTATAAAACACATCTGCACTACTGGCAACGGGCAGCTCATGCATCTGGATCACATCACCCATGTTCTCCCCAACCACATATCAGAGGAGGAGGAATTTCCTGACGAATCAGATGCTGCCCAAAAGTACCATGGTTTTTTCGTGTTGCCATGCACATAATGAATCTGCAAAGAGTTACAGATCAAGCCAAAACAAAGATATCTTTCATTTATCTAATTGTACAGAATGCTGAATGGGCTGTGCAATATTCAAAGAGAGAAGGAAAGAAAAAGAAAAACGAAGGAATGAAGGAAAGAAAGAAAAAAAAGAAAGAGAAAGGAAAAAAAATAAATTATGTGTGTTCATTTCCTTTGCACTGCAAATCCCAAATAATCTGTAATCATTTGTGTGTGGGGAAGGTGGTGAGATGGTGGAGGAAGAGCAGTGGTATGCTCAGAGGTAAGCAGAAAATTATCATGAAAATAAATACCCAGGAAACAATCCTGCTATCTGTAAAAGACAATGAAGGAGAGTGTGAATGTAAAGCAAGTAAGAAGAAAGTATAAGCCGGCATGTGGTTACTCACACCTGTAATCTGAGCACTTTGGGAGGTCAAGGTGGTGAATTACTTGAGGCCAGGAGTTTGAGACCAGCCTGAGCAACATGGTGAAACCTGATCTCTACTAAAAATACAAAAAGTAGTTGGGTGAGGTGGCACAGGCCTGTAATCCCAGCTACTTGGGTGGCTGAGGTGTGTGAGTTGCTTGAACCTGGGAAGTGGAGGTTGCAGTGAGCTGACATTATGTCACTGCACTCCAGCCTGGGCAACAGAGCAAGACTCTGTCAGAAGAAGGAGGAGGAGGAGAAGGAGGAGGAGGAAAGAAGAAGGAAGAGAAGGAAGAGGAGGAGGTATGGAAATGGAATCTTGGCATAAAAAGGTTCCTTAGAAATTCAGTTGGTTCACTTTTTTAAATCTCCACATCAGTCTAGATGGCTGATGTTGTTATTTAAACTTTTAAAGGAGATTCTGCCATGTTATGTACATATGTATTTAAGTATGTATGTATTTGTGTCTTGCCTCATTTTAAAAAGATTTGAGCAGACACATGCTTTATTGGCCCAGTAATATTTTCTAGTATTTCACAGCTATTAATAGGCAGGAAGTTTGATTTAAATAGAGCAATGCTGCAATCTGGAAAATTATTTGCACTGTATTGAGGCAAGTTAATAGTGTGTCTGAAACCCAAGTCTGGGGATGTAGTCAACAGCCCTTCTAATTGATTTGTGGAACAGGAGAAAGATTCTTTTTTGGCACTCTCCTCTCTACTTGCTGCATATATGGAAAGTGAGTGCACATAAAAGAAGGTGGAGAGGGTGATGTTGAATGAAATTTTATTTCTAGTTAAATGCTGTTCAAAGCATTTGGAAATCATTTAACCTTGAGGCTTTGCCTACATCTACAACATATCAAGATTACCAGCTGGAAAGGGAAAAATCCAAATACCCAGATGCTTGGACTATACTGTGCTAAAATGTGACTATTTGAAAACATCCAGGTATTTAGTAGCATCTCACACAAAAGAATTTTCTACCTTCTTTCTACTTTTGACATCACATAGGAGCAGTTAATGTTATATTTCTATACTTTATTTTCTAAATAAACCATTTCCTTTGCTTTAGGTATTTATAATAAGCTGTT